CTAACCCGAGGAAAAATCTGTGGCAGCTCGAGTCAATCGTTTGAAGATGTATCTGCGAGAGGACCACTCTGGCCGGGGTTATACTTTAATTTTAAAATAGAAACAGAGGGGATCGATTCAGAAAATTGAAATGCTGATACAGTAGTAACTGTATTAATTTTGCCTTGATCCGGCATGACAGAGCCACGGAAGAGGATGCATTCAGTTCTGAAATGCGATTTTTTGGCCAGTGAGAGGATTGTTTTCCATTTCGAAATATTTGCATGCAGATGAATTGTCTGATTTAAATTTGTAGGAATCATCTGATACTTTCGCTTAAATTGGCCATACTGTACTTAAAGCCATAATTTTTTTGAAAGGTTATGGTATTTTTTAGATTGATGTCCATATTTGGTTCGTTATAGGTAAAAAAAATTATAGATACTGTATCAACATCCATTGCGCTTGTTCATGTATACCTTCTTTGTCATGCTCTTGTACTTTTTTGAATGTATTCTCGGAGTTGCTTATTTCGAGAAAAATTAAATTCGTTTTAAAAATCCTAGAGCACTCCGACAATACATGCTATTGATCAAGGTTTCATACTCCATTAGCGAACATCCCAGATAATTGAATATTTCTTCAGAAAAGATAAAGCAATATTATTTTTCCCTGCAAATTTCTCGTTCATCAGCGGGGAATTAATAAACGTTAATAAAAACTAAACTGATCTCGTTTCCTTTTCCGTTGAAAAAAATTTGGCGCACGGTCGCATGTTCCGGTTAATCGAAGTACATGGAGTGGGACTTCTACTGTGATCACCGGAATGCAATTCTTGCGGTAACTGAAAAATGCATCTACAACGAAAGAGGCGAGGAAAAGTGATTGCTGCAATATTAAAAAACCCATTATGAACGGCGATCTGTACAGTAAGGCGATTGAGCAGCAGACCCCACACGTAAGGGACACCTAAGGTCTATGTGACATCATCTTCAGCTGCGCAAACAAAGAGAAAAGAAGGGCAGGGTCCCAACAGACAAAGTAAAAAAATAAAAATGCTTCTGGAGTAAACGGCGTTAGTCGGGAAGGCAACGCCAGGAAATGAAATAAGAGAGGATCGCTCGCCTCCCACCATTCCTGCGGAAACGGAAACAGCGTCCCCGAATGATTCATTATTTTGTAGGGTACGCTGCTCGTCGAATTATGTCAATCTTCAGATACATGATGTTTAACCTCATCTTCGAGAGCAATATCTACCCCCTCCCCAAAAACAGTAACTGATTATTCCGCTATCGTAAAAGAGAAAAAAAAAACCTCTGCATACTCTGGTTACAGAGTACAGTACGTACAGTATTAACGTCTGTCAGTTGAACATTCACGTTATTCCCTTTTTCTTCTTCGTATTATATGAAACTATTTTCGCTGAAAATTTTAAGGCGAGTTATTTCATTATATTTAAACAACTTTGAAAATGCACCCAACTTGCTGAAGAGTATTCAAAACTCAGAGTTTCAAATGCTGGCAAGGAGCCTTGCACGCACGACAGTGAGTGCACATTTCTCATTTCCCACTATACGCAGTGTATGAAAAAAAGGTCTTGAAAATCTGATAAAATAACAGCCGCTTGAAACATAATAAGAAAAATATGAAATTGAGTGTACATTTTCAACGACGTTAGAAATATTTATTCCCGCACGGAACTCGAATAACCCACTCGTAGGTAAAAATGCAAGAGAAATGGTGCTAAAAAAAGGAGCGGACCCGAAGAAAGGCTATATAAGTTGAACAAGTAAAACGAGAATGCTCTTTGTACGTAAAAAACAATTGAGAAGAAGGAGGTGAGGTCCACTTCCACCAACTAGGTCTACTCATAACAGATATTGGTGCAACTTTTCTTTTGCAAGAAATGTTTGCTGGAGTGGATCTGGAAGGACGTCAGAAAGGGACTTTCTGTATGAAACACAAAAGGTAGGGTCTGAGGTTTTCGAGCGATTTCAGATCGTGAAACGTGCTAGGATTTTAGCATCTTTTTCACACAGAAAAATCTAAATAATGCCCAGTATTTTATTAAATTATTTCGAAAGAATCCTACAAATTTTCTCAACTCGATGATCCCTTTTCATAATCAAATTTTATGATGGAGCCATTGCAAAAACCGAATTCTGCGGCAGAGTTGATAATATAGTCAATCTTGCAGATTTGTTTGCTTCGACTTGAAATTCTGTTCTTTTTTATCTTGATCATCATCGCTCAATCAGGGTGAATCTTTTTTTTCACAGACAATTTAATTGAAAAGTTTTGTCATTTTTTCTAGGTAGATCATCTGCTCAGCTCGTGGGAAGCACGAGCCCATGCACACAACCCACGGGTCCCGTGGAGCAAAGGTATACAGTATAGCGTATATACAATCCGCATATACAATCCGCAGACAATCACCGACGGGGAGTTGTGTCCCATAAATGTGAACATATTCGTACAGGAAGACTTTTGAGACATGGTTTCGGGGCCCGGCGATCCCACCCAACAATTACTGCTTGATGTGCGGGCCCGCGTTGATAATGTCGGGAATCGTCGGGAGGGTAGCGCTGGGAGTGCATACTCATAGGATCAAGATATAGAATGACAACGTCCATGTGCAGATGATCCCTGGCGCACAGCTTCACTCTTGCCCTTTGGGCGTGAAATACGATCTCCCTCGGTAAGGAAATTAATTCCAGCACCGCGACGAGAGTTCAAACAAGGCATTCCCGCCGCGGTTCAGATTTATGAGCGTTCTGCACCCCGTTTGGTGGGTACTGGGGATCCAGTTTTGCCGAATTTATACAGAGCATCAGGATCCCTCGCAGGCGCTCGAAATGGGCGCGCGGGTACACGGGTGGAGAACATGCTTGAGAGGCGCCGCGAGACGTCTAAAAATGCTTCTTTCCTCCGGGTGCGGTTGCATCGACTTTCCGCATCACCATCGGACATTAATGCGCGGCCTTTTTTCATTCCGTCGGGATGAGGAAGAACATTGGTACATTCTTGAGACCGCGAGTGGGTGGAGTAGAGTAGAGTAGATTACGCGAGAAACAGTTGGAACCGACTGAGCTTATCTTCTTCAATGAAACTTTTAGATGCAGTGGGACTTTCGGGTCTCACGACGATTCACTCACGCATCTTCCGAGACATCTCTATTTTCCTCAAGCCTACCAAAGACTTGAATATTCTTATTTCGGTTATTTTTTCCCTTGAACCACTCACTACATCCCATCATCTGACAAAGGAACATCTAGAATTGGTCGGGTAACACACAGTTCCAGCCCCACCCAAGTTTTTATTTAATTTTAAACGAGCCAGTTTTTGCGGAGCTTGACGCAAAACATAGAAAACGTCTACATATTTTTCTTGCACAAGCATTCGTTGATTTATTCCACCTCCAAGAGGAGTAACGTCAGAAATTAGGTATTCCTGGAAACCCGCACACGGTGCAAGGATTCATTTTAGTTCGACTTGAACTTCCAAGAATTACTGAGAACCTGTTTTTTCTGATGCACAAACTGATATAATTCTTCAGCTGTATCGTCAGTGCTATGAAACGAGAATGAATTTAGCCAACGATAGAAAAATCTCCGGCGAGGAACTGAAAGGTGGCCCAACTGTTCAAGCATTCGTAAGAGAATGTAACCTTAAAGCACAGGATACTGTGCTTCATTCGTTTCCGTCTCGCAAGGGCTGCGGCATATGTTTTCCCCATACTTTGATTATCAAAGCGGGTGGTTTAAAGCCTCATATGGGATTAGCTTGAAAAAAATACGCACAGAGATATGTTCTGACGTAACACATAGAGACGATTACAAGTGCTTGCATCAGATCCTGATAACCATAGTGAACATAATCAAGGGAGACTTCCGCCTGGAAATTACTTCTGACACCGCGAGATTTGTTGGTGTGTAGTAGAGCCACTATAGGGTGACTTGTGCAGTTTGTCATCGCCAAACCCGCGCACCAAATTAGATTCAAGATACGTACTCGTATTCTCGGGCGAAATAAATCGCCAACAACTTCCTAATTTAGCCGTGTGCTGGTTGGCTCAATCTTTTATTTTTATTTTTTTTCGTGTCATTAACAAACAGTTGCATTCATTCAGTGGAACCTCCATTCTCCGAGCTAATGAGTGGTTTTATTTTCCTGATACTTTTAAATTTTGGATAACCCAAAATCCGTTGGCAATGAGCTTGTATGATGCGATCCAAACGATAAATTAAGATCAACAGGATGAGCAACGTGAAATATGAGAAAGCATCGTGGAATCAGTAGAGTTGAGTTGGTGACTAATGCTGCAAGGAATTCAATATACTTTTTTTTTTAGAAATTATATGTTCAGACGTATCCAAATACAGTTCTTTGGATCCGATTCATATATTCTCTGCGCATATTTTTTTTGCCAATTCCATGAGGTATATTAGATCTTCTGCCGAGATATTTCTGCTTTTTTTATTGGAACTCCTTTGTAATGCATGGGGAGAAAGAAAACATTCCTCCACTTGACAGAACGAATCAAAATAAAATAAATTCCTCCATATCCTGCAATAGTTATACATAGAAGATTATTATTTTGTTGTCACGTAATTTGTTCGGAAGATACATAAAAAATTTTTTTGAATTTTCAAAAATGTAGCACATATTTTATTCGTGATTCATGAATTTCCTCGTTCTTTTTCCCACACATTCTCATGATATAAGACCGACTGACCGAGTATGTGTTTGGGGAAAATAATAGTATTTTATCTCTGGCTTGCTTCTGTTGAAAATCTCAGAGTTTTTTCTGGGTTGGCAAATCTCAAAAGATACTATTTCCGTGTCGTTCCAGATTTCTAAAGGGTGCGGGGTCTTTTTTTTTTTTTTTAGATCAAAATGAACAGAAACTCGATGCATTTATACAGTATTGAATTCCCTAGAATTTACTCCTATCGCATCTTGCTCACGACCCATGTGACAGATTTGGGATTTCGGAACGCACAAAAGAGGGTTAAAAGAATTTAATCAAAGTATTTGGCGCCCGTGGTGGATTCAACCGATGCTTTCGACAGCGATCTGCGATCTTCATCGGAAAGAGTTCGAAATGAATACCAGCTCACCGACGCAGTTGACCAGTGAAGCGTCCAAGATGAACCCTGGCGGGCACTCGCACCTGTAGGATCCGTCGGTGTTGACGCACATGCCGCCGCCGGAGCACGGTTCGCGGATCAGCGCACATTCGTTCAGATCCTCGCCCTTCTCTCCGCGCCCGGGACCGTCCGGGCAAAGTTTCTTGAACTCCTCTGGAAATGCAGTTCGGAAGTCCGAAAATAAATTCGTTTCGAATCGGTCGCCCAGGCAGAGCGGTCCGTTCGCATGGCCTATTCCATCCGCGATCGTCATGATGCGAGACAAGTTTGGGGGGGGGGGGGGGGGCAAAACCCGTTTCGGGGGGGGTGGGGGGGGGGGGGGGGGGGGGGGGGGGGGGGGCAAAACCCGTTTCGCGGGGCGTATTTGCAAAACAGAATTGTAGTCAATTTAAGGTTAACGCGGGTTTTGTTTTGAAAAGTTAGCAAGACAAACAAATATTGCAGCTGAACTTGGGCAAAAAGTGGGGGGTTCAATACACAGCATTCCATCAGGAGGAAGCCAATAGCGTACTTCTGAAACAACAAGTCGTTCTGCGATTCCGCGAGAATAACATCCATCAGTCGAGTTTTTTTCATTCATTCCCTTGAAAATTATTCCTACCTCAAAAATAAGCTGTGAACACTCCTTTGTAATTCGTGGGGAGAACGAATGCCTTCCTCCACTTGGTAGAGCAAATCGCAATAAAATATCTTTATACCTATTCTTCAACAGCTTATTATCATATAAAAGTCCATCATTTCGTTGTCGCGTAACATGCTCGGAAGATTCGTCAAAACATTTTCGATTTGAAAAAAATGTAAATCGTGATTCATGAATTGCCTCGTTCTTTTTCCCATAAATTATCTGGATATAAGACAGACTGGCCGTGTGTGTATTGGGAAAAAATAGCATTTTATCTATTTTTTTCTTCTTCTGTTGAACATGTCAAAATTTTTCTGCAAAAACGGATTTTATTTAAGAGTAAATGTCCATGAATCGTCGATGCTGAATTTACACTGAGTCTCATGAGGCTTCTAGAGGTAATAATGGACAAATGCAAAGAGATCAGCTGAGTGAAATCGCGTCGAATATGATTTCCCTCTATTGTTCTTACACAGGCCCAAGACTTACTCGTGTGCTGCAGTGGACACATTTCACATTGCTGAGCACCCCAAGCTGCTCCGGCAGTGCAACAGCATTCTTTCTTGGTCATCATTTCCAGTCTAGGGTCCAGGCATTCATCACCTTGGTGCGAACTGAAGCACAGCTCTTCTCTTCTGTCAATGCACACGGTGCCCGAGTGATCCAACGCCCAGCCTTCGTCGCAGTGGCAAAGGAAACTCCCGAGGGTATTGTTGCAGCGTCCATCAACGCAACTCGGCTCCGGCCTGGCACATTCGTCTATATCTGCATGCAAATGAACACAGGGCATAAATCCCTCCATATGGTTCAGATCAACCGGTTTTCACGCAGGGACGAGAGTTCTTTCTGCACGACGTCGTCACGGATTACAGAATTAAAAACACCTTTCGTCTGTGCCGATCACTTTTTCTTTTCGTCGGCGTGATTCGCAAAGCGCTGATAAAATTAGTAGGAATGCGTTCAACCTAGGAGTTGACTTCTGAAATACGCATTTTCAGTCAGTGCGAATTAAATTTCCCTGCGTATAATGTTGATAGAAAAAATAGAATGTCACTCGAGGTCTCAAGATACGCTTATCAAGGAAAAGGATATTTTTGGACTTATTTCCAGTTGACATAAATATTTCACGGACTGAATTGAAATTAAAGGAGAAACTCTCGATTATTCTGCCTAAATTAACTAGAAGACTTCACCGGGATAACTAAATGTCACACAGACAACAACAAAAACTGAAGGATTTAAAAATTAAAAATTACTCATGGACGAAGCAATTTGCAATTTAACGACGGACTACCGTGATATTACAGTAAAGTACTAACATTCCCGAAAATTGCAAAGAGCGAAAATGTATCAGATGAGTTCATGAACTTATTTTTCAAAAATAAGATGTTGCATGATTTCTTCCCGCTCTTTCTTCCTTGTTTATATTTTATTTGCTTCCTTTCGGGACATCGTAATTTTAGCGTATTTTTTATTTATGTTTTATTCACTTTTTTAATAGGGCACTATTCAATCGCCCGGTTAATCGAAGCTCAAGTAAGCGAGGTACGAGCGAAAAAAATGCATGTTTCCGTAAGGTACGGTACCGTACCTAGACATTTTTTTCGATCAGCAGATATCTTGTAGCCAGGTGGACACACCGTTTTCTTCGAAGGTCCTTCTAAAACCGTAAACGGGCCGCCCCCTGTGTGCAGGCTGAGGAGGTTCGTAAGCAACTACAGAGCCGTCCAAGAGCGTAGACTGTCTTGCATAGGGCACCTTGTAACGCACTTGAAACTACCTTGCGTGTTTTTGCACTTGCCCAGTTTGCAAGGCCTGGATTCGCGGCATTCATCAATATCTGTTGAGCGAAGCGTACAGCGAAAGCGTTCACGCAACGCTCGGAAATTGGGATTTCGGCATGGTACTTCATTCCCTTCCCTTCTTTCAGTGCTACCATTCTTCGGGGCAGAAATTGAGAAGATTAGCGAGGATGCTAAAGCCCCGGGAGGAAAATACGGGCTGTGAGAGGGTCCAGACCTGGGAGTACATTATGCAAAGCATTGTTCATGATAATCACTGATGAACTCATTTAGCTTCGCTGCCTCGCTTTCGACGTCTGCTTTCTGGCCTCTGTGAGTAGAAAGGGCCTCGTAATTTTCTCTAGACTCAAAAATACCCGGCCATGTCTCTCACGATGAAAATTTGATTTTCCACGCTTTACATACATTATTTTTCCTCGACCTCTTCGACAAAAACATCCGTAGGGCATTCAATTTATTTTATTTTATTGAAACTTTAAGCATGTACGTATGGGAGCTTCAGTCTCAAGAGAAAAATGTCTCCACATTTTTAAAGGTCGACAACAAACTTGAAAAGATGGTGTGTGAAACTCGTTGGCATTTTTTCCGCTTCCATGTGGGAAAAATAGCATCCCATTGCGAACTTAAGCATTTGAAATTCATGATCTCTAATGTGAACCTATGAGGAGAAAATTGAAAAAGTTTTTTTTAATGTTCGCGCTTTTATTTTTTGGGGACATTTAAAAAAATAAGGGGAGGGAGTTTCACGAGGCTTTCTTGCAATTGCTCCAACAGACTCAGTTGTTTTTTTTAGAAGACCGGTATGCATTCGCAGGCGATACATTTTCATCAGAAGTTTCCATTTTTCGTGTCTTTCATTAAAAAGAGGCGAACACAATATCATCCACCCGAAAAATTTCAAAGTTCACAGCCAATTGTCAGAATATGCAATGCTTTCTCTCGGAACATTTCTGAAAATGTCTCAGCTTTCATGACGAGTGTGCAACCTGGGAATTCATAAAATTAAGGGCACCGCAATTACTAGCTCAGAAAATTTATTTGTCTCTATTACCTGAATTTAAAAAAAATTGGATTTAATTGCTTATAAAATGAAAGATGAGTCGGAACGGGATCAATTTTTCTTTTTCCAACTGCGATGACGTTTATGTGGTTGATCCGTTCGATTTCTGAGGAACACATTTATCATTTCGATTTTTTTTCGGATTTTGATTGCCACCAGATTTTACGAAACACGTTACAGTATTTGCTGCTTTGCTTTTGAAAATGTTCGTCGGATAGTTTTCTGCAAGTGCTTCAGTCACTTCGGTGAAATCAAGAAAACGCCGAATTCTGTCTTCGGATTATTCGCTATTTTTGAATAAAAATGGTGAAGAGAGGGAAGAAGAAAAGTATTGGTTCCGATGAAACTCTCTGAATGCGATGGTAAGAAAGAAAAAAAAAGTTGAGCAGGAGGCGCAAAGGAATTTTTGGAAGTCGAACTGTACTGCTCGGGAATCTGGCTTCGACATAACCTTCACAAACTCCGGACGGCGTCAACCGGAATCCGGGATAGCATTCACAGCGATGGGAACCCGGGGTATTCATGCAGACTCCTTTCCCACAAATTTCCGGTTTGATAGCGCACTCGTCAGTGTCCACACAAGCATCCCTCGACGATGAAAGCACGTAGCCTTGTCCGCAAATACAGTTGAAGCTAGTTTCCATTTTTCGTGTCTTTCATTAAAAAGAGGCGAACACAATATCATCCACCCGAAAAATTTCAAAGTTCACAGCCAATTGTCAGAATATGCAATGCTTTCTCTCGGAACATTTCTGAAAATGTGTCAGCTTTCATGACGAGTGTGCAACCTGGGAATTCATAAAATTAAGGGCACCGCAATTACTAGCTCAGAAAATGTATTTGTCTCTATTACCTTAATTTAAAAAAATTGGATTTAATTGCTTATAAAATGAAAGATGAGTCGGAACGGGATCAATTTTTCTTTTTCCAACTGCGATGACGTTTATGTGGTTGATCCGTTCAATTTCTGAGGAACACATTTATCATTTTAATTTTTTTTCGGATTTTGATTGCCGCCAGATTTTACGAAACACGTTACAGTATTTGCTGCTTTGCTTTTGAAAATGTTCGTCGGATAGTTTTCTACAAGTGCTTCAGTCACTTCGGTGAAATCAAGAAAACGCCGAATTCTGTCTTCGGATTATTCGCTATTATTGAATAAAAATGGTGAAGAGAGGGAAGAAGAAAAGTATTGGTTCCGATGAAACTCTCTGAATGCGATGGTAAGAAAGAAAAAAAAAGTTGAGCAGGAGGCACAAAGGAATTTTTGGAAGTCGAACTCTACTGCTCGGGAATCTGGCTTCGACATAACCTTCACAAACTCCGGACGGCGTCAACCGGAATCCGGGATAGCATTCACAGCGATGACTTGGGCCCCATAAGTACGTCTGAGGAAAGGGTGTTTAAAGGCCAAACTATCGCGTGAGCAGTCACAGGTGTGTTCGTAGGGAGCTGCTACTTTCGTGCATCGGAACAGGCGTTTATGTCAACTTCGCCCCCGCGGAGTTCTGGCATCTTCCATTCTCGCAAATCCCGGAGTGCACCAGGCACTCGTCAATATCTTCCGAGAAAAGAAGACAAGTTGATCTCGGTGCGTCGCATCCGAATCAAAGGTTCCTCTGCTCACCATCGCACATCATCCCGGATCGAGAGAGCTTGTAGCCCCCGGGACAATTGCACCTGAAACCTCCCGGCATATTCTCGCACTTCGCCACCTCGTCACAGGCGTTCTTCAAAGGATCCAGGCACTCGTTCTCATCTGTCAGCAATTCACACAAACTTTTAATCTTCACGTCAGCTCGGGCCCTGACTGATAGAATTTTCCTGAAATATTTCCCGCAAAAAATAAAGCAGCCTCGGGGCATATTGTATTTACGCGGTTACCGGTCACAGATCAATTTCGGGCAGTCATCGGGATGAGAATAACAATCGTTCATCGTGAATTTGGCTTTAAAAACCTCTGATTTCTGAGATTAGGCGCTGTATTATACATAAGATAAAGACGCAGCTCATAAAGGTAAAGCCTGTCCGAAAACTGAAAAAAACTCCCTCTTAGTGAAAGATAAAATGTACTGTCCAATAAGCGCGTCAAATAAACCCCTCAAATTACCGTTGGGTAGAAAATGTGCTTCCGAAACACGATCATAGGTTGCATTCTGATTTCGGGATAATATTTGAGAGAAAAAAAGGATACAGTCCGAAGATGGATAATCATGGCGGAAAAATGCGGTTACTCTACGGAGAAAACACTACAGAACTTGAATGTATGCGTTCCGATGTCATAAAAATTTAAACGGTACGAAAAACAAATATGCTTGGCCATAAAGTCAACAGAAAAATGGAAAATCGGCAAGAAAAGCGCATCTTGGTGTCTCGCGTCTCCAGCAGTAATTTTCCACACTGTTTTCCTGTTGTTTAATACCGTAAGATCAACCTAGCCTTTCTCACACCGTGAAACATACTTGTAGATCCGAAGACTTCGATAATACACCCAAATATTTCAGCGCATTTTCTGGGAGGTGCGGCATAAAATCGCTTAAATACGGGTTCGAAGCGCATAAAAAAATCGAGAAATGCCAATCTGTCGAATAGCCTTAATATTTTACGAAAAATGTCGACGGAAAGGAGTTGTTGCTAGAGTTATGCGCGTACAAACCAGATATACGTCGAAATATCTCTGCGATTTTATGGAATCAGAGGCCGGATTTTCCCTCAACGTTTCGACCCCCGCTGCACTCAAATTCCTCACAGTTACCCCCTTGGGTTCTCTGATATCGACCTGAAACAGTTTCGCATATCTCGCTTTAGCCAATGGCTGGATAAAAGCCGATTTCACAAGAAGCAGCGAGCCGAAGCCACGAAGTCACGACTGCATAGTTCATTATTCTACCATGTTCCGTGGTGAACAATCTCACATCGACCCTGCCCTAGACACACAAAGAGAATAACCGGTCTAAGAGAAAATCCCACTATGTTCCTCGGAATATCTCGGGTCCGATGGCGAGAACTAACTCAATTTGTCTTCCACAATTCAGCCGTCTGCAGATCAATGTTCACAAGATTTTGCCGCAGGAATTGCATGAACCATTGCATGCATCCGCAGCTTCCTGTTACGCGAAGTGAACGTCTTCGGTGACAAGGGCATGGAAAATTCTCGACGACTTCGAACATCATTCAGGGCGCCGTTCTTCTCAGGATAGAGAAAATTTAATTGAATAATCGAGTTCCTCTCTTTAAAACGACGGTCTGGAAAGATACTTGAAGATGCGAGTGTTCTCACCATCGCAGGCGTTGGACTGAGCATTGTACTTGAATCCCTCGTAGCAGCTGCATGTATAGGACCCTTGAGTGTTGATGCATTCCCCGTTGGGACACAGGGAAGGAATGAGTATGCATTCGTTGATGTCCTCAGTCATTATCAGACCGGGCTTCGTGCCGCACATTTCCGTGAACGCATCTAACGCAGAAAAAAGTAATAACGACTCTGTAGTCATGACACTGTGACGAACTTACGACGGGAACCAGAGGGTTAGGGTAAAACATGCAGCTCATTATCCTCGTCCGAGCTTCACGGAAAAATTTCCTGCGATTCTCGCGAAAATGAGTGAAGCAGTGCATAAAATCCCACAAGTACTTCAAACAACATTTTCAGCTTTTCCAAAACAAAATTCAATTTTTTCTATCTATTATTCAAATGCAACGAAACAACGGTCTCCCACTAATCCACGAAACTTGATGTTTGCAGCATCATATAAGTAAAAAAACTGCCTTGTCCTTTCTCATGTCTTTCACAACGAAAGATGCAAACGTTGTTATCATCATCAAGACGGAAATGTTCACCTGCATGCATGCAGTTTTACGACGAACTATGAATATTTACGAGTCTCATTATTTATGACTGAACTTGAAAAAGCACAGAGAATCTTGACTCGGGGGTTTTTTCGATGCGAACGGTTTTGATTTATGAGAAGCAAAAATTCTCGGCTTCAGCCGTTGCACGCCGTCGACTTCCACAAATTTGTAGTGGCCCGTAAATTGAGCAACCTTGTGGCGACGACTATGAAGTAGTGAGATATTACTGCAATCTTCAGTTGAATAATGCAACTAGGTCCTTTCGTGCCACAGTGGCGAGTAATCGGGTACTTGATGACAGCGCGTCACGGAGAAGCTCGTCATGCAGAATACAACAAGCAAGATATCTACACAACTCTTGCTCTTGATTACTCTCCATGTCGTGTTGTCATGTCGAGCCGCTCCAGCTGGCACCATGTTTTTATTTTTATTTCTGTTTAAACCTCCGCAATAACAGTCGGGCAAAATCGAGAGGTTTCATTTTACAGCTGAGCCATGGTGCTTCGGATATGCAGGTGCGGTTTACGATGGGTACAGATTCTCCGAATTCTTTCAAAGAATCCATGCGGTGGGTTTTAACATTGATATCGGCTTAATAGTTTGAGCCAGCTGTTGCCTTGACGACGTCGAATAAAATATCATTTAATTTTCTTCTGATGAGGAACATATATAAAGTTAAGTTTTCAACTGTACCACTGCCTTCGTGAACAAATAAATATTGGCCACATCACTGTTTTTGCCACTTAATTATTGGGTATTTTGATCATATCAGCTATCTGAGCTCCAAAATTTCACGGAGAGCTTCAAACTACTGTACGTACAGTGATCTATAATTTGGGACATGGTGTTCAGCATGGTATCCACAAATTTCAATGCCAACTGACAAGTCTTGTGTCTTCGACTCAAGAAATGAAAGTGCAAACTTATTTTAAAAAATATATATAATACTCGCCGCACCAATAAAATGCGTAGTTGAGCAAGAAAAAATCGTAACTTCTCAGCTTCTGGAAACTATGAGACTCAAATACATGCACCAGGAGGAGGGACTTTTTTCAATAGGGCAGGTTTCTGAATGGCTGTGCTTGTCATCCTGATGAAAAAATTTCAGCAAAAGTCCACATTGAAACAAAATCAAAACCTATCTGACTTCTAAAGCAAGTAAAGTACCTCCAATATTTTGAGGAGGCATCACTATCTGAACATCCGTCTCCTTGATTCTAGTCAATAACCCTGTACTTGAGAGTGTGAGTGACAGCGTGAGCAGTGAATGACAAGCGCAACCGCACGGCAACACTGTCATGCACGGGATTATTTTGGAAAACGAAAAGGTGACACGTCATCAAAACATCCGTCCTTCACATCGCATTTTGCGAGTGTTCAAGCGTAATTCGTTGGACGACGTTAATCGTCTTCCTCCGCGAACCCGTGATCTGTGTTTCAGAATGGAACGAAAGATTGAAATTCACCTGTAGTATTCGCTGGGCAAGGTTCGCAACTGTGTCCCCAAGCCTTGCCAACGGAGCAGCAGCAATCCACTTGGCGCATATTCGACACGCCAGTAGCGGGCGCTAAACAGATTTCCGAGTCCAAATATTGCGTGTAGCATGGCTCCCGGCGGTTGTCAACGCAACTTGAACCGTCAGGTAAGAGTACGTGTCCCTTGGGGCAATGGCAATCAAAGCTTCCGATCGTGTTCACACAGCGGCCCTTGTTGCAAACTTCTTGGGTCGCACATTCGTCGATGTCTGCAGGATGACGAGACACGCGAAGATAACGGAGTGGAAATGTTACTTTCGCAATGGATCGAAGTCCCGCAACCTCGAAGGCATTTGTTTATATTCATTTCTGAGTCGATGATCATGAAGCTAGTGCGTGACTCTTTGACGTACGTGACTTGCTGAGAAATGAAAAGAATTCCTTAAACTGTCTTCCGAACACGTTTCCCACAGTGCTCTAGATCTGTGTTCCCAACCGGTGGTCCGCGGACCGGCGAAGGTCCGCAGAGGTCTTTTTGCTGGTCGCGGTAGATTTTCAGCACAATAAATGCATCAGAATTTGTGATGTTATTGTTATCTAATAGTTTGGAAAGACAATGTCAGTTGAAATTATCTGATTAGAATAAAAGTTGGCTTTTCCCTTAATAACACTCAAGAATAATTTTCACATACTCTAATAATACATTTCCAGTTTTCCTTCTGTGAAACCTTTTTTAAACCCAGCTTTCTAATTTTTTGAGGACACTTCACTATAGCTGCTTGACGATTCTTAACTTGATTTTTGAAATATGGGAGGTATTCAAAACTTTTTCTGGCGGTCTGAAAAAATTTTAGGGAACGCTACCAGAGAATGTTGTGGAAATATGCCGGTCAGTTGACAATTAAAAGAGAATTTCCGGTCTGTGGGTCCAAAAAGGTTGGGAACAATCTCTAGATAGTCTAGAATAACCACTTAGGCTTTTCGAAAAAAATTCTCGATCTCAAAACATTTCGAAGAACGCTTGAATACAATTATTAAATCCGATTCACGACCATTGCCAAGGTTGAAATTAGTACTGCTCTGGCAAGCAAACATCAGATGGGTTTCGAATTCCAGGGATGAAGAAAAGATATGTACATGGCCTTAGAAACCTCAGGAAACTTCGCCATCATTTCTTTCTATAGACGCATGAAACTTTGTAGCGCGCGCAGCTGAGTTTACAGAAAGAAATATACCTCGACAATTTTCACTGATGGAGCTAATTTTCGTATGCATCAGCGTTGAAAAAGATTGCACCTAAAGATTCAGACAAATCAATCATACTTGAAAAAAAACATGCTTTGAAGATCCGAAAATATCATCAGAAAAATCCTTTGAATTAAGAATAAGTAACAAGTTTGCATTACGTAGTATACGTACACAACATTGATAAGCATTGCTCGGGTTTTAAATGCACACAGTCATCACTGTAAACTATTGCCTAATTAGGTGTTCCTGGGAAAATGCCTGATGTCTCAAGAATTCTTGAATCCAATAAAAAAAATCATTCGTACGATGCGCTCAAATTTGAGCAGAACGACAAAACAGCCTCCGCTGATCAAATACCACGCGAATTTTGGCGCACAGTGTGTCTTTTACATTCACGGAACTACATTACGTTAGTGCTCGCGGAAGTGCTTCTATGGCACTCAACATTAGTTTTAGACATATGTACTGGCTACATCCGGGTGTACTGAAACAAGGGATTTCCTGAACCACAGCTGGCTGCAACAAATCAAAGATTTTATGTCAACGTTTTCAATTGGGACGTGCACTTCCCGTCACACGCCACGTCATTGCGACTCCGGAAACCCTACGTTTAGTTCTCAAAATTGATTTTGGAAATACTGTGTCCGTTCGGGCTTACTGGAGCAAATGCCTTCCTAAAACCCAACTGGCTGCGGCAAAGAAAACCCTGCGTGAAACACAATAAACCGGGAGCTTTAGCTCGTGCATGCCGATACAAGCCATGTGACACCGGAAACCGTTGAAGTACTTTATATTTAGTTAATATAAAAATAGCTTCGCGCTCGGAAATCTTCGGCACTCAAAATTACTTTTAGAAATACTGTGCGCATTCGCGTTACTGAAGCTAGATACTCCACTGTATTTCCAAAATCGCATCTGAAAGCAGAGAAGCTAAACCTACGTGAATACAAACATTCAGGATTTGCACCCTGATGAAACAATCTTCGACGGGAACTGCCGTCAAAAATATCGTCATCGCTCATCCAAAAACTCCGTTATCAGATGAAAAAAGTTCAGTGCTAAAAATATTTGGCTTCAAAATTTATTTTTAAAAATAATAAGTGCATTCGGATGTGCAACAGCAAATGTACTGCATTTCCTGAAACACGGCTGGTTAGAGCGAAGAGTATAGGTACACGATCCACTGATGGGAGTTGTACTTACAGTCCCTAGTCATGTCATAGCGTCTCCGGAAACTTTTGAAGTACATGCAAATAAATCTACTTGGTACTTAAAATTACTTTGAGAAGTTGGGATGTACATTACTGAAGTGAATAATTTCCTGAAACACGGCTGGCTGTGGCAAAGGAAATTGTACGTTAACACGATCAACCGGGATGTGTATACTTACCGTCACAAGTCATGTCATCGCGTCTCTGGAACCCCTTGAAGCACGTGCAAATAAATCCGCTGAAAGTGTTGGTGCATTTCCCGTGATTGCAAATCGCGGGGAAGTCGAGGCATTCGTCGATGTCCTCCAGCATTCCCTGAGGACAAAAGCAAAAACAATCCCATAAGCACTAGTTTGCACCTGTTCCTCGCGTTACCATGTCACTGCTGGTGCCGGAAACCCACCGTTTCGATGTTCGGCCTGAGCCCGCGGCCCCCCGGGCACAGCTGTTGATACTCCTCGGTGCCCTCTTCCGGGCACTCGTCGCATCTCGGCCCCCAACTCCTGCCACGCCCGCAACAACATGTCGATTTCCTGACCGAGTGCCCCATCGACACACCGCACGCGTCGTCGGCATAGCATTGCCCTATCCTGGCATCTGTCGACCCCGAAATGCACAAAAAAGAATCTATGGTGTGAAATTTCCTGGCACTCAAAGCGATGACAGAATGTCCCTTCGCCAGAGCCCCGGGTCGCATCCGATGGCAGAGATACCCTTGCAACGCGTGGAATCATTAGGTGTGTCCATAAGTGTACAGTATAAAATTTCTCTTTTCTGTTCGCGGGAAATAACTTACCAAAAAATCAGAAATAAAAATACCCTGAAATGTCTTCGTTGTTGAGAAAATCAACCTCGTTCTACGAAATCCCAGAAATGAGGTATAGTGCTCATTTGACTGAATCTGAAAAGATAAAGTTATAACTTGAATCATCCGGCTTTCAATTAACCGAGCCCGACTTTCACGTCAATTAGCAGCAGAGTGCAGAGAAGCTTCATTTTCTCCACATCGACATGAATTTATTCCGGATATGCATCTAAAATCAAACGCATTGCCTCGAATAATGAAGTAAGCGATTGGTTATCAGAGGTCCGTCTATTTTTGTGTGCCTTAAGGATAAAAATAAAACCTGCGAATATAGAAAGCGCTTTCATTGCATCGAATTTCTTTATAATTTGACAAGGTTACTCATGATTCAGTTACCAGCCCAATATCCCCAAAAATTTCCGAAAAAATCTATATATGATACAAGTTCGTTAAACTAAAACTGAAAATCATGTTTGACACGTACCATTGAATGCCATACTCTCACATTTGAAATACAAGTGAGACCCCGATATGCGGACACCCCACAATTTGACTCAGGGACACTTTAAAACCAAAAATTCAGTCTCAACATTTGGACATTGGCTTGAGTTAGGGACACTCTTCTAAAATTGTCCCAAAATTGAAAATTTTATATATTTTTTATTTTGATATCTTTTGAACAAATCAAGCTACTTATATTCACAAAAATTAAAAATTTATTTCATGATAAAGTCACTCTAATTCATATTCAAAAGCAAGCTAATCTTGTGCTTCTAATTTCAGAGATTTTTCCATCATCTGTGCATATTCTAGCAAGACTTACTCTTTTTCTTTGCTTTTTGATCTCCGTTTGATACCAAAATATCAGATTCTCTGTGGTTTTGTTCTGCCATGTTGTTTTCAACAACTTGAATTTGAGGGAAACAATTTTTATTAAATTTTCAGGACTTATTTCTAATTTTCGACAAAAACGAGAATCAATTAAATACATTAGCATTGAAGTCTAAGGGAAAATGAGACTCGACTTCGGGACATTCCGACATCAGGACACTCTCGATAAACCAATTACGTCCGCATCTAGGGTTCTCTCACTGTTTCTATCTCGGGGTCTCATTTTTTCGAAAAAGTGCGTCTATGTTTTCGAGTAAATACAGCAAGCATGAGCAAACCAAAACAATTTCATGGCGTTTTTTTGAATGAAAAATAATGAGATACCAACAACCCGGATTTCTCCATGGAGGGAAATGTGTTTATCTTCATAATTTTCAGTTCATCATCGAATAAATAGTTTTCATTAGAAGGCAGCACCCAGCGATTAGACCGGATGATCGAGGGCTCAACTGCATGAACTACAATTTTCTTAGTACCCGCTTTAGTACGACATGTATACCATCTTTCCCTTCTTTGCCCCGTATAACTGCGAACTTTTTACCACAATTAATACAGTAATAATTTTCCATTCAGCCTTTAAAATCTCGTCAAAATTTCCAGCCAATTTTAGTACGCACATTTTATTTCAACTGGTAATCTTTGCTGAGAATTAGATCAGCAAGTGAATCGTGTTTCTCAGAAATCCAATATCATCTGGAAAATCACAGCCCATCTAGAGAGGATAAAGATCTTCTAGCCACACACCGAATCAAAGAAAGCAAATCCAGAAGGTAGGCTTTTTTTTCCAAATCATGACAAGTTTTTATCAAAGCTTCTTATTCATTGCCTCCAACCAGATTCAGTTGTTGTCTTGTTGATCTTGCAGTATGGTGAATTTCTGCATTTCCTTTTGATATTTGCACGATGGAAAGATTCAACAGTCCAGAAACTATCGACAAACATCTCTGGAAACTAGATTCTAGATGAGTAATTGGTAAAGCACAGAATATTGAAAATTATGCTAGTTTTCGCTTGCTGGAGCGGATTTCTTTTTGTATTAAATAATCGAAAAGCAAAAAAATAATGTTAATCAGGCGAAATATTCGGAATATCACTAACGCAGAAATTTTGAAGCACCTACGTAATTTTATGAATTAACAGTACTTTTCTTGGAATGTCCCGTGATACTGTATTTTATAAAATATCGTATTATACGGACAATCAAATAGATCATAAGCACAGTATTCAACTGCGATTTCTGGTTATTCGGACAAACGCCCAGTAATTTGCCAAGATAATCGGATTTCAACGGGATTGACAAAATACGGTACCAACGAAAAATGTAAAGCATTAAAAATGGAAATTTTTATCCACAAAATCCGAAAAAAAGTCTAATGAAGTGCAGTAGCTCAGATTGAACAGTAGCGTTCAGTTTGTTTTCTTTCCATGAAATGAAATGTGCACACGGTAAATCGAATGCTCAGTTTATATACGCCTAGGCGATGGGAATATTACTGTAGCTTTTTTAATCTCCCTGCATACCAAGGTTAACTTGTCTTTGAGTTGACTCACTCGTGCACAGAGGGTATTAACTATTCAGGAAGTGAAACCGACTGCTCGGACCCGGGAGGGTTCGCGTGTGGAGCAGCCGGCAAGAAATGAATTGCTGGCGACTGGTTGCGATGACAGGGGACCGAAGTGCCGAGCGAGTCCGCTCTTGTTTCCCCGAAGATTTGTGACCGATGATGAACCCGAGGGAAATGGGATATGGTCGACGACCCAACAAGAAATGTAAGCTTATTGTCTCCCCTAAATTGATGGCTGGAAGGACAATTACTCAGTCCCGCGCATTCAACGGAGCTGAGCTGAAAGACGCTGTTGTCGCGCCCTCGACACTCTCCTTGAAATGAAAACACCTCGGCCTTTCAAACAATCAACTCTTTGAATTTTAAATATTTTTAAGTATCATCATTCTTTTCTCTTTGTTCACTTTTTAACAACAGTACAGGCCGTATTTTCAGCTCGGATCTTCGAAATAATTGCAATCGGCGGAAGCCGATAGATTAGTTAATAGGTTCGGAGTGCAATTCAAATCATGCGCTTTGCAAACCTGAAAAGGAGAACTTCGGAAAAATTAGCTTCCAAAGAAAGATTTTCAGTTAAATTCTCAAATCATGGTATTAAAACCAATCTGTTGTTCAAAGATCTAATCAGTTTTAATTAAAAATGAAAGCGTGTCTTCATTCATTAAATGTGTGAACGTTCCAGAATGTTGATCGTACAATAATTTTCTGTACTCAGAAACATGTCAGTTTAATGAGAAAAACTAGTGTATGCCATTGGACAAAAAAACAACATTCAAATGCGGAGCCCTCCATTCGCGAGGGATCCGTAAAAGCTTTCATCCTGACGCTGAGTGTTCTTTATATAGTGACCTAAAATGTTCCCTGAGTGTTTGAGAGAGGACCAAAATGAAATTAAGGAAGAATCACGATATTGGGCTTTCCTGTGTCTTGAGCGCGTTACCCGACAGGTGGTCGTGTCCCAGAAGAAACGTCTCGAAAACAATGTCAACCGGAAGAAAGAAACGTCTCGAAAACAATGTCAACCGGAAGAAACAAACGAAGAAAACAGCACTCTCACCGCAAAACAGTTACCAAGGAATCAAGTAAAATGCCATTTTTACGAAACGGTGTCTTAGTTCCAGGAAATGGACAATTTTTTTTTTATTGCAGAACCTTGCCTGCAAAAGTAACTCTCTATCGGTCTATCCTCATGATTAAAATTAACAAAATGGATGTGAAGTAGAATTCTGATTATCCGGACTTTCATTAACAAATATTCGATTATCCGTTGCAATTCACCTATGTGGGGAAATTGGCTCACTTCCCTTTTTATCCGAGTCCCTGTATTTCCCTTTCCATGGAATTTCTCAACTTTTGAATTGCGAAAAAAACGGTTCTTATATTCGGCCCGAAATACAAAATCTTTAAATTGCTTTCGTTAGTGTCTCAAGAAGTATAAATCAGCAATCACACGTGCAGTATTTCCTTTTTGTCTTCCTGGCTGTCATAATTTTTCCCCGGTTTTGCGAACAGTCGCTGTAATGGATGCGTTGTTTTGTGACAGGCACAACCATTCCGGCATCGCGAGAGCAAAAAAAGGCGGGGATGACAATCTTCTCTTATTGCGAATACGGGCAGTCTAAGAATGATGAGTTTTGATATGATCAACACTAGGTAGTTGCGACGGCGTGAAAAATGAATCGAGGTCCATCTTCAGACGCGGTAAGAAGAATTAAAAGCGACAAAGACACGGAGTCCCCGGCGATCCATCACCGCAGGTTGGTCTCCTGGGCCTGGAAACGCACTCGGACACCCCGGTCCTTCGTCCCGTCTGTCTAATGCTGGACTGAAGGATGAAGACTCACCGACACACGCAGTGCGTGCAATATTGAGAGAGTAGCCCGATGGACAGAAGCATTCGAAGGATCCGATAGAGTTCTTGCAATCCCCTTGCGAGCATTGTTGCGCGTTCTCGCACTCGTCAATATCCGTGCAATTCCCTGGCGACCAAGCAAAAAAAAAAGTAGGCCCCCGCGCGGGAAGGAGTCACCAGAGAGACTTCAAATTTTCCTAACGTCCTCTAACCTTTGAGCTCGTCCAACTTGAAGCCTCGATCGCAAATGCACTTGAACGATCCGATTACGTTTTCACATCGTCCGTTCACGCAAATTTCCCTGAAGTTTGAGCATTCGTCTACGTCTGAAAGAAAAAAAAAGAAAGAAAAAACGACATCCACTAAGCATATGCAGGCTATATACAAGCCCCGGACATTTCGTTTGCATAAAAGCATAGCCTGTATCCTAAGCCGAATCATTTTAAACCCGAACGCAAGCAAATCCTTGGGTAAGAGGCGTCCGTATCAACAGAAGACAAATGTCACTGCCGGGTTTCGGACGGGAACTGCTTTGCGAAGTAATATTATAGACGGGATCCGGGTTCTTACGCGGATTTGAGCGATTTTTTCACGCGGAAAACTGTCACTGCTGAATTTTCAAGTGAGCCAATGTTGCATTTTGCTCGCTTACCCTGGCAAGATTGCTTGTCCTCTTCGCCATCGATGACGGGGTTTGAGAATCCCAAATCGCATTCGCAATAGAAGGAGCCAGGCAAGTTTTGGCATTTCCCGTACCTGCACAAAGCCTGATTTTTGCACTCGTCCACATCTTGACAGAAGAACCCGTTCCCTTCGAAACCCTCATCGCAAATGCACTGCAAAGATATAAACTAGGGTAACCTACGCCTGCAGTGTACAAAGTTTCAATCCATTGTTCCAGCACTGTTCGAAAACAAATTTTGCAAAAATGTTCAAGTTTCAATCGGTTAAATTCTAGTCAATTACTGTCCGCAGTAAAATCTCGACCATCTTTGAATCCAATTAACCATACCCCTACAACGCATCAGTCTTGTATTATACGTCATCAGAATGAATTTTTTATGATCCCAAAGTTTTTTATATTCCTAGTCCTGTTGCAGCAGGTGTACTACAGCAATTCCATGTACGCAAATATAGTATCCATAAAACGAATATTAATTGGTCACAAACAAACTTTCCACGAATTCTTGAAGGTCTCTTTTACAAACATGTGAGCTGTAAATTATTCCTACATAGAATCTATTTTTGGACCGATGTATATTGAACTCCATCGAGAGAATTAATTTCACGCGGCCCATAATTCTTATTTAAATTAACCATGCTGATCTCAAGTAAGGCGAGTGAAGTCATTATATGACATTTTTTGTTTTATTCTACGAAATCGTACTAGGAAGAATGCATTCCGTCATTAGCCAGGGTAATCGAAGTTTTGCCACAAATACAATCCTGCATGCTACTAACTCTTCGGATTCCCAGTTATTGCTTGATCTTATTCGTATCGCAAAATTGCGTGTGCCTTTACAATTATGGTGTTAGTTTCGAGATTCATTTCCTCAAAGAAAAGATCCTATTTTCTCTCGACAGGAAGGGTTATACTAATGCTACTAAGAGGATTTTCTGGAGCACTGCAAAAGGACTACCTTGTAGGAACCCTCCGTGTCCATGCACCTTGCGTGCTGATGGCAATTTCCTTGGTTCATCAAACACTCGTCAATATTCCTGCACTCTTCCCCGCTTCCACGGAAACCTTCCAGGCAGTTGCAGGAAAAGGAGCCCTGAGAATGGTGAAGCATGGATGACATTTAGTAGACCAGGAACTCATTAGCAGATACAGGAGGGCCGCTTACAGCGGTGTTGGTGCAATTAGCGTGCGGGTCGCAGTTGTGGATCCGCAAAGCACACTCATCTTCATCTACGCATTTGTCTCCACCGTGGGGAATACCGTAGCCGGGCAGGCAGTCGCATTGGTACGAGCCAAGGGTGTTGATGCAGTTTCCTTTGCCGCATATTTGACTCCCGAGACATTCGTTCATGTCTGCCAAGCAGACGCCATCAAATGGTACAATTTCATTGCCCAGGGGAAGGGGGGGGATTGTTAGTCGAAGAGCACCCGGGTCGGGTGACGAGAATATTGGGCCTCACCCTCGCATCGCTGTCCGTTGCCTGACGGGACGAAACCGACGTGGCAGAAGCAGGTGTAGGACCCGTCTGTATTCACACAGTCGCCTCCGTGACAAATCCGCGGGTTGACGGCGCACTCGTTCACATCTTCGCAACTTTTTCCGTCACGAAGAAGCTCGTAACCACTTCGACAGGAGCAGCTAAAGCTTCCCACTGTGTTTTCACAAATCTCGAGGCAGCCGCCGTTGTTATCCATGCATTCATTGATGTCTACAAGAGACGCCGACGAGTCGATTCAAAAAGCTAAATTGCATCAGCCTCATACCGGAATGCCACCATGAGGATATGCCGGGATGGGGTAAATGCCGAAGAGGAAAACAAACGCCAGGAAAAGACATTTCGTGTGAAAAGGTGGGGCAAAAATGTGCAGAAAATATCATGTGTGAGAAAATATTCACTGGGAAAAAATGACGAGAGAGCAGATGTAGTATGACAGAGGGGACTGAAATCTTGATTAATTGAGAGGAAATAACGCGTGTGGAGAGAGGGAGAAAAAACAAGCTGAAGAATGTCACGATTCAAAAATATTCGGAAAAAAGGATCGCACAGAAGAAAATTTCACACTCAAAAACAAACTATAACGGAATAGGTATGCTGATACAGCTGAATGAAAAAAACACTGATCAGTGAAATTATCTCTTAGAGACCTTTGATCCCCGACATTTTCCTCGCCTTGCGTTTTCTCATGACACCCCCGCAATAAAGAATGTTAGAAATCCTCTCGTCGTTGAAAATGGTACTTCCCACTCCTCAGTTACAAGAGGAACCCGTTTCAACTATATAAAAAAATGCATTTTCTCCAGGAACCACAGTTGATTATGTAAGCACTTCTAGAGAGCAGGCGAATATCACGTTTCGTGCTCCTGATGTTTGAAAAACCTTTAACAAATCGCATGGATTTCAAATAAAAAGTATGCGTCCGGAGCACGGCAGAAAATATATGTTACGGTTTGGAAAATCCAGTGCTGTAATTTTTAGACAGATTCCATAAGAATGATTCGTACTGGAACATATGAAAAAAAGAAACATACCTTCGCAGTGTGATTTTGAACCTTGCTGTTGAAAACCGTCATTGCACACGCATTGATATGTGCCCATCATGTTTTCACATACGCCGTTGGAGCAGATCTCCGAAGTTTGAGAACATTCATTCACGTCTAAAATGCATTATCAAAATAATATTTCAATGCCGCTTATATAGTTATAATCGAAATTCAAATCCATTTGCTGTGAACAAGTCAAGTAAAATATGTGTGACGCAAAACACGTTATTTTATTCCTTCTAGAATTTTTTTTTCGATATCATTTTCCTTGAAGTTGACTACATCCAACTTAATCAGCGTACGGTTATTTGATAAATTTCTATTGAATATTTTGAGAATGCACTCCAGTCTTTTTTATCTCTATCAAATCAGATGGATTTAAAGCAAATAAATTGTTTTTCAATTGGACGGGACAATAAATAGGTCGCATAGAGTTATCTTGGCAGTTTTTAAAACAAAATCGTTCGGCATGTGCAGTGTGCGTTATTGATAGACGTATTATCCCCGGGATGTGATAACGGGATGTGATAATGGTAAAATAAACCCAGGACAGTGCAGTGAGACCCTGAGATGTGGAAATAATTGGTGCATCAGGAGTGTCCCTAGGTCAAAAGTTGAGTCTAACTTTTCCTTAGACTTACATTGTATAATTTTTAACTGGTGTTTCATGGACAAAATACTCAGCAGAATTCCATAAAAATAAAAATTGTCTCCCAATTTAAACTGATTCAATCAATATATTTCAACACAATATGGACATTTGGGGAATTGAATACTGATACCTCTTCACAGTACTGTACATGGACATGTTGGCAATCTCCATAAAAATAAAATTCAAGTGAAAGCAAGAGAAGGAAGTCCCTCTATGCTGGAGGTAATGTTTTAAAATTAACTAAATGAATGGTAAATCGGGGAGAGAATTGCACAAGAACTTTTCTTACATCAATTTTAGGGTTGGAAATATCTGTTTCTTGTAATTTGGTCTGAAACTCATTTTCAATATTATCACAAAATGTCCCTATGTCGAGTCACTGTCCTCATGTCGGGCCTTTTTTATTGATTTTTTTATGGGAGCAAATGCCCCTATGTTTGATTGTCCGCATGTCGAGGTGTCCGCATGTGGGGGTCTCCCTGTAATTTCACGATGGCCATACCGCTTACCTTCGCAAGTAGTTCCATCCGCCGAGATTTCGTGTCCCGGAGGACATCTGCACTGGAAACTGCCAGGGTTATTAATACATACCCCTCCTCGACATAGCCCGACGATCGCTTTGCATTCATCGATATCTGCAATCAAGACAGTGAGACACCGCAGTATCACCAAATGCATGAGGCTTCGATGCGTTGGGCGACATACCGAAGCAGGGCTGCATTTCCTCCATGGATTCATATCCACGATCGCAGTCGCATCTGAAGCCGCCGTCGTTGTTTCGGCATGTGCCGTTCCCGCACACCCCCGTCATTATTTTGCATTCATCGTAGTCTGCAAATGCAGCCTCAAGAATTACTGCATTGAAACGCAGGGACCTAAAATCCAATTAGCTTATCGAACCAACGAATCACGAAGACCTTCTTGTAAGAAACAATTACTCTAAATTCTACGAAATCACAGGACACTTGGAGTATAAATATACAGTATTTTGGGAGATTCTTCTTGAACTCGCACAGCTTTTAAATAAATTATCAACGTCTGCAATTTTTGGAGCTTCGGCTTAGGTATGAGTATATTACCGTGTTAACCGAAAACATAGATACAATAATTTAAACCTTTTGTGCCTCCAGTGTGGATCGAATTTCAAAGTGATCCAATGAACTTTAATTTCTAGGGGTTAACACAAATGTTCCCGGAAATATCACTGCATTAAAGTCAATCATTTTTATATCCACCCGCTTAAAATATAGAGTAAAAATTTTTAAATCTATTTTTTTATTTTCTAAATCGATTAGGATGAAGAAATCAACTTTCAACTTGGATATTTTGGCCATGCAACGATACAAGGACATGTCTTGGAAAATGAGGGCTTGGAGAAAATTCCGCTGAAAGGGAATTTTCGGAGTGGGGTTGAGGAAGTTTATGCAGCGACAAAAAAAATCAAGCTGGAGAATTCCACAACTTAAAAATCTAGAAATAATTTTGCGAAAGAAAATATCGCACGCAATAAATAAATAATGATGATGATAATACCCAAAAACCAAACATGACAGAACATTTGCTGAAATGAGTTTCTAGCAAAAGGAAGTGAGAAAAATACAATTTTACCGTCAACACTCAATCTATCGTGGCGTTTTCACTTCAAACTGTTTAGTAATCGCCTCAAGAATACGGCCTGAGATGTAGGAGCAAATCTCTGACATTAGAAAGAGGGATCCCCGAGCGAACAATTTAAGACTGTAATGTCAAAAGCATGTCCATCGGAGAAAATGCCTTAATTCTATCCCTAAGTTCAGTNAGTTCCATCCGCCGAGATTTCGTGTCCCGGAGGACATCTGCACTGGAAACTGCCAGGGTTATTAATACATACCCCTCCTCGACATAGCCCGACGATCGCTTTGCATTCATCGATATCTGCAATCAAGACAGTGAGACACCGCAGTATCACCAAATGCATGAGGCTTCAATGCGTGGGGCGACATACCGAAGCAAGGCTGCATTTCCTCCATAGATTCATATCCACGATCGCAGTCGCATCTGAAGCCGCCGTCGTTGTTTCGGCATGTGCCGTTCCCGCACACCCCCGTCATTATTTTGCATTCATCGTAGTCTGCAAATGCAGCCTCAAGAATTACTGCATTGAAACGCAGGGACCTAAAATCCAATTAGCTTATCGAACCAACGAATCACGAAGACCTTCTTGTAAGAAACAATTACTCTAAATTCTACGAAATCATAGGACACGTGGAGTATAAATATACCGTATTTTGGGAGATTCTTCTTGAAATCGCACAGCTTTTGAATAAATTATCAACGTCTGCAATCTTTGGAGCTTCGGTATGACGCATGAGTATTAATATTACCGGGTTAACCGAAAACATAGATACAATATTTTAAACCTTTTGTGCCTCCAGTGCGCATCGAAAAGTGATACAATGAACTTTTATTTCGAGGGGTTAACGCAAAAGGTCCCGGAAATATCACTGCTTTAAATTCAATCCTTTTTATATTCACCCTCTCAATATATAGAGTAAACAATGTAGAATCTATTTTTGAGTTTCGAAAGTGATCAGGACGAACAAATTAACGTTCAACTTAAATATTTTGGCCACGCATCAATAAGGACATGTCTTGAAAAATGTGGAGAAAATTCCACTGAAAAAGGAATTTCGGAGTGGGGTTGAGGATGTTTATGCGACGACAAAAAAATAAAGCTGGAGAATTCCACAATTTAAAAATCTAGAAATAATTTTGCGAAAGAAAATATCGCACGTAATGAAGAAATAATAACAATAATAATAATAGTACTCAAAAACCGAACAGGACAGAAAAGTTGCTAAAATGAATTTTTAGCAGAAGGAAGTGAGAAAAAAAAAAATTTACCGTCAACAGTCGATCTATCGCATCGTTTTCACTACACACTGTTTAGTAATCGCCTCAAGAACACGGCCTGAGATGTAGGAGCAAATCTCTGACATTAGAAAGAGGGATCCCCGAGCGAACAATTTAAGACTGTAATGTCAAAAGCATGTCCATCGGAGAAAATGCCTTAATTCTATCCCTAAGTTCAGTGATGAACGCNACGGCCTGAGATGTAGGAGCAAATCTCTGACATTAGAAAGAGGGATCCCCGAGCGAACAATTTAAGACTGTAATGTCAAAAGCATGTCCATCGGAGAAAATGCCTTAATTCTATCCCTAAGTTCAGTGATGAACGCTGGAATGCAATTCCGAAGTCTTCCGAGTTGAACCTACCCACGCAGTTGAGCTTCTCTTGATCGGGCGTGTAGCCCGGGTTGCATATGCATTCGAAAGATCCCCGGATATTCCTGCACTTCCCGTTCCGGCAAATGTCGGGAATGAGAGCGCACTCGTTAACGTCGGCTCCGTTCACGATCCCAATCCCGTCGGGGCACAGGTCTTCGAACTGCTTCGTCCCGGGTTGCGGGCACATCTTGCACCTGTCGCCTGCATGACGAGCAAAACCAAGCGATTCAATTACGCCCCGTCGACAGGTGCTCGGGGACGGGATTGGAATTGAAATCTGACCCCAGGCTTGACCGACCATGGTACAGCAGCAGTCGGCTCGTTTGTAGACCCCCGGCAGCGGATCCGCGCAGCCGTTGCGGAAGTCCAGGAAGCAGGTTTCTTCCCGGTTGTCGATGCACGTCCGGCTTGTTGCGTCTATCGACATGCCTTCGGGGCACTGGCAGAAGAAAGAACCTTCAGTGTTGATGCACTTCCCTCCGCCCTTGCAAATTTCCGAGTCCATCTCGCATTCGTTGATGTCCGTGCATTCCCGGCCGTCGTACTATGTATACATGCCGAAGGCCATCAGTGAATACCAGGGGAAGTACCCAAACTGCGTAGCTTTTCTTCGCAACGTCAGAAACATGATATTGTACAGCGTATGAACGCTATGAAGAAAACTTTCTTCTCTATAGGCAGTGGACTCTCTCCACAACGATCTTGTCTACAACGATTTTCTGCGTACAAAGAATTTTTATTTCGTTCCTTTGTGCTCCTCTCCCAATGTTAAAGTGGTTCTATACAACGAAACTCTCTCTACAACGATTTTTTTTCTAGTCCCTTGAATTTCTTTGCAGAGAGAGTCCGCCTCAAAATTTTCAAAAAATGACGTCGATTCAAAAGACATTACTCTATTTCCATCCGAGAATCTAAATAAACCTTTCCTCAAGCAATGCCTCGTGGGCTCGAGTGTCCTATTTATTATCAGGGGACATTTTTGGATCGTTGGAATACTTTTGGCTGACGAACAATCGAATACCTCCCGTCATTGATGATTTGGCCTTCGGGAAGTATAGCACTAGCGAAATCATTAAGAAATTAACATACGAATGCTTTCGAAAGAACTTGCAAAAAGTTATTTTGATAAAATTAATTACAGTATTTCATTGAAAAAATTGCTTTGAGGAAAATGATGATACAGTGTAATTCAGGAAATAAATCTCACTTCATTCTATAATCTTTCAAATACGGTATTTCTAACATTTTCGAGTGTGAATTGAATCAGAAGCGAAGAAAACTATATGACAACCCCTCGTACTGCAAACCTGCATTGTTCCAGGGCTAGGAACATACGCGGTCATGTAACAAGTAGACATTTGAATAACCTGATTTTCCTGAATAAATAAGGTAGATTTTCTGGAGAATACGCGGTGATTCTTGAAAGCAAAACGCGCGGAACTCCGACGACCCCGGAGGTACCTTTCCTTTTATTCTGTTACATCTTCAGAACTTTCCCCGATTTCCTACGCATCCATTATCCCGGGTATTCTTGGTTATACTCTCCCACCTCGTATTATAATTTTTGAACTTTCTTTGAGACCTAGATTTCCAGCTTTAACCCGCACAGCAGCTTTTTTTTTATGAATCACGTTCGTGTGACAGCCAAAAATTACCGCAATTTCTCTATGAATCCTGCCAATGCTATTGTGCTGTACTTAAAAACGAATTTCACGATCTTTTGAATCGGCGGGCGAGGTTTGAAAGCTTTGTCTTCAAGAAAATTTCTGCTCTGACCGACTTCTTGTATCAGCATCTACAATCGTGACCAGCAGACCTCAAACGTACTGAAATAAATCAAAGTTATATTTTTCTTTTCAGTATTTAATTACGCCGTCTGTGAAAATTATGCAGGTCTGGAAGCACCAAAGAACGGTTTATGTCGGTTAGGAATTGATATCCTTATCAATAGCGTGAATAGCGTGACGAATTTTTTTAAGGGCAGGTGAGTATCATGTTTAAGCGAGGTTGAAGAGTGGATAAAAAACCTCGGGAAATACCTTTGAAAATCCGATGTCACAATCACAGTCAGACCTGTCACATATTTTGCACGGAGAACCCCAAGCTTGTCCCACGGAGCAGCAGCACTCAGACTTGAGAATCAGTCTGTCGACGTTATTTTCACATCTGCCGTTCCGCACAGTGAACCAGCACGATCCTTTTCTATTATCTATCCGTATCAGAGGAAAAAGAGCGATAAGATTTTTTAGCCCTTGGTGTGTGGTATATTTCAAGACCCGGGAGATCGATCGCTGTCGATATAAGTCCTGGGAGAGCAGCGGCCTCACCGAGACAAATGTTGCCGGTTGGGTCAAGCACGTATCCTTCCGCACATGTACATCTGTAAGACCCCGGAAGATTGATGCAGTTTCCGCCGAGACAAAGCCCTGACGTGGACGACCCGTGTCGGACGCATTCGTCGATATCCTCGCACGACCCTGACGCGTTCAGTTGTGTGCCCTCGGGGCAGACGCACTATTGATGAACCGGAATTCTCTACAGTTACGTGGTGCTTCTTGGGGTGAACTTTTTTTCTTTTAGCGTGCCGTGGTGTGAGGCGGTCATTTTATGAGACAGGCTTACATACACATTTACAGTAATGTGATGATTACTGAATATAAGAAGGGGGAAGAGCAGGAAACAACTTTTCATCCACAGCCTGGTATTCGAGTTGATCACTGGAAAAATGTTGTCGGTGTATTTTTCAATGATCTTGCCACAGAAACTGCACAAAATTGCATGTAGACTAAAATATTGGAATTTGTTCATGAGTCACAAATGTATTTTGGTGTGCCCGCTAAGGCTGAGGGAATATATCCAACCTTTCTTATGACTCACAAACCCGACTTGCCTCTACTAATTCCAAGCAAAACTTGTCCGAGTTGCCAGTGGCCTTTAATTGTGCCTCAAGCAGTTAGCCAATTCAGTCAAGTTTCGTTGAATACTGTAAAATGATATGTTCGGGGCGTTTGTGCAGTTTTTGAAGCTTTCGTTTGATTTTTTTCCTCCAAGGATTATGAAAAAGAAACACTTCCCGATAGCTGTCACGATACTGTCCCAATGTGGATTTTTCTGAAGCAGTTATCTGACTTATTCAAGCAAGAATCCTCAGCTAATTTGAAGTATTTTCTAGTGATGCCAGACAGATCGTTCAGAATGTGTGTGATACGTTGGCACGGGGATATGATGATGAGCAAACAATTCTTGTAGCCACAGTTTGTAATCATCCATCAGCAGCGAAGAACTTGTCGAAAGATTAATTTTCCATTCGTCAAACAGAAGAAAACAAGTTAATATCCATAATTTGAAAATCACTTCAAGAACTCCGCAGTTTCGAGCGGCGGATAAGCGGGAAGGGAAATTGAACAAATACAAGTAAATTCAGCTTATCCTCCCGATTAGAGCGTTGTTAAGGAAAATACGCCTTCCATTTTGAGATGAAAGATGTAAATTTGCGCAGCCAAGCTGAGAAAGCGTTGATTATATGTTCTTAAAAGGCTTGGGTTATATAATCAGAAGATTTACGTTTTTAATCCTCCCTAACAAATGCACACGTTCTACTGCGATAAGCAAATGGGGACCCGCGAACATTAAAAAAATGGATTAAATTCCATCCCCTGTTGCCGTCGGTAAGTTCAGAGCTTCCTTCTTTCTTTACAATTATACAAAAGAACCAGTTCCGCTTAGCTAAAAATATTATCCCACTTTCCGCAAAACGCCAAATCCTGCTAACGCCTTTGGGCCAAATTGCATCATGAACCGCGAAAATTCCAAGGGCAAGAGTGCGAATAATGGAAAGCAAAATACTGTATTCCCCACGGACGGTTTCGGCCCGTGGGCCTATAATTCGTTCCCCCGGGGACGTATACGGGTTTGAGAAACAAAAGTTTACTTCCGTGAATGGACTCGGACGATAGCAGAACATAGGTACTGTACCTTGAAGCTTCCCGGAGTGTCGATGCATTGACCACCGTGGCATCGGCCAGGTTCTTCGGAGCATTCGTCGACATTTACGCACTTCTTGCCATTGGGTTCCAATGCATAGCCCGGGTAACAGCTGCATCTGTAAGTGCCGACCATGTTCTCACACGATCCGTTCTCGCAAATGCTCGGATACTGGTAACACTCGTTGATATCTGAGGGAAAACCATCGACAACCGGCAACCTGCCGAGTGCTTGTTAGACGAACACTTGAACACCACGATGCCCCGCGTCGAAAAAACAAATCTCGGGCTTTTCAAAATGTACGATACGATAAAAAAGAGTGCTGCACTGAAATTTTAAGCTCCTTACACTTTAGATAATTAAACGATTTTTTGGGGGATAAATTTGAAAACGCTTGAAAATTCTGGACGCATTTAAGATTTCGCCACTTCAAGTATTCCAATCGAAAATAAATGTTTTGTCCTAAAAAAAATGAATAATCATCGAAAAAAAAATCTCTTCATTCCCCGAAGACATTCCAGAGACATTTCAAATATATCGCTTCTAATCTTCGTAGTCTGTCTTTTATATATTTTTTCCTGATTTTCAGTTTTATCTGTCATCTTTAATGGTTGGCAAAAAAGACTGGTCACCTCCAAAACATCCAACAAGACACTGACGATTGTAAATACTGCAATATATGCCGTCATTCTTGTTTTTTGAAAATAGCATCTACCCTGATAATAAATCCCCGTCCGTTTTTTTAGAGGAACAATATGAACATTTCTCCTGGGAAAAACGGTAGTCCGTTTATCCTTATATTATTCACTTATTTATTTCAGAAGCATCAGATACAACAGGATTCTGGTTCACAATTATAATACTGCGATTATTTACTCCGGGTTCAGATCCATGGATATCGAATTATAACGAAACGAAGGATGCAGTCCTTTCAACGATGCTGCAACCCGGGGTCGATTTAGCGTCACCCATCTGAGTGTCCACAAACCATCAACTAAATGAGCAGACAGCTTCACTTGATCGACAACCCACGGTTGCATTAAACGTCTTGTCATATTAACAGTACAGCAAGACTATGCAACCGTTTTCTCGTGTACTTGAAAGCTCGAAATCCTTGATATGGCTCGATTTGAGTATTATTCGTTGACTCGTTTTGTGGCGAAAGAACATCCTCAATAACATGAATACATACGCTGAGGCCACAAGAAAAAAAAAAGAAAAAAAAATATATACAGTATATATATTATTACTGTATATGAAATTCATTGGAGGCTTTCTGAGCGAAAGGATCCAATTTACAGATCTCAAAGGAGACCTATTTACTGAACACATGAGCCATTATACACCACCTCCATTTCTGTATACGGATCCGAGGCTGTGCTCGCTCAGTTGGGTGGCGCCAAGTTGGGTGGTCACGGGAGCGGAGAATTCGAGATTTGAAATGTCATTTATGGCGTTCCGTAGAACGGTTATGCGATATAAAGGAAAAACTCCGCCGCACTAACCATTGCCACTGAATCCTTTGCCGGGCCCGAACGGACACAGGCGGGAATAATCGGCACTCCCGAGCAACGGACACAGCTCGCATTGCGTCGACCCCCACGCTTGCATAGTTTCCGTATCAGCCCCGCAGCAGCACATGGATTTGGTCATGATCGCCCTGGACGGCTTCTGGCAATTGCCATTTTCGAAAGCGGCATAGCAGTAGCCTTCGCGGGTGTCTGAAAGTGGGGACACGAAGTACTGTACCGGTTTCAGCAATATAGTGGCCAACTGCCTTGAGGCGGCAGTTTCAATTTCACTCTTTTCGGAGTGTGTTTCGCCCGGAGACATGGTCACCGGTGATTGATCGATTCTGTAAGAACAGTGCTAGACCAACAGCTGCTGGCGCCTGTATTGCTTCCGGAAACAACGAACCTCGAAATGAACGGGTTCAAGTTCAACTGAGGTGCTGGCTATATAGGGGTCAGATGGTTTAAAACTTAACTCCATCCGAAGGGAACGCGTCTCATCTCAGTCTCGTCCAGTAATTTTGTTTCGCCTTAGGTACTCTCGTCCTTTCATGATGAACTCCGCGTTTTTTTATTAGGGTTATCTCATTCAATTCAAAATATACAATGTAACATACAGTATTGGATTTTGAATGAATACAAACACCGATTTCAGTGCAGTATAAAAAAATAAGACACAGATTGAAACACATTGAAACCCTCTGAATTTAAAAATTATTAAATATCAACTTCAGCTTCACAGCATTCAGCCGTTTTTTTCATATTCTGCTAATAAAATTTAAACTTTTACTAATTAGGCGACGACTTCTTCAGATTAATGTTTCTTCAGTAGCTGTACGAGTACCTGCGCGGGTATAGTACTGGGAAAATTCAGTTGAATTACTATTTATATTGAAAAGTTTCGCGATCGTTAATATTCTTGATCGTAATTATTATCACTCTAGCAATACATGCCCCCTATTCCCATGAATCCATTCCCTCAAGTATGGCTCACTTCTGGTCAAATACTGTACTGCAAGTCCGTTTTTAAGTGAGTTTATTGAAAACACGACGCGAAGAGAACACGAACAATTCAAGCTTAGTGAATCGTACGCGTGGATTTGATTTCTTTCTTCCGAAGAAAGTTTTCCTTTTTTTTTGGAAAAGGATTATTGTGTGATATATTTCCGTAAATTAACGTTCCAGTTAATTTGAGAAATCGTAAATTCTGCCGAAGTCCTGACTTTGCCCCCATATTTTCAGGGGTTGTCTTTCACGGGACTTCAGCAGGTTATCTGTCAATTATGATCTGACAATTTCATAAAACGGCTCGGAGGAAACTGATAGCAGGAAACAGGAGAAACAAAATACCTCATGAGCTCACAAAATACCACTCAAAAACGTGGAGATGTCTTCTTTCGAACATTTTTTCAAAATTAATTAATCAGGATTACGCAGGGATTCACAGGCTTTCTTGTCCGCATTACCTAGGCAAGTTTTTCCATCGGAGCTGAGAGAAAATCCAGGCTCGCAGATGCACCGGAAACTGCCGGGAACATTCTCGCACTGGCCTCCGACACAGGGCTTCTGTTGGCATTCATCCACGTCTATAAAATGTTTCAGCGTCATCAAAAACTGCATGAGAATCAGGGCTTCCCTCGGAAAAATCCGCATATTTTTCCATACCGAGACAGTGGATGCCGTTTGGAGACCGAAACCCTGGGTTGCAAATACAGCTGTAGTCACCCGGAGAGTTGTGACATCGGCCGTTCTCACAGACACCGCGGGAACTGCACTCGTCAATGTCGAGGCACATTGAACCATCAGGCGACACCTTGTAGCCGTGGTCGCAAATACACTGGAACCCTCCCGCAAGATTTCGACACTTGCCATTCTCGCATAACTTCCGGTCCTCTCGACACTCATCGACATCTGTCGTTATTCCGCATCAACAAGAACGAACTCGAGGTAACTCAAAAGTCATCCGAAATCGTCATAATCGTGTCATGGAAAAGTCACCACAGGAAACTTGGAATACCGTACAATCCCAGAATGAATCAAAATATTTTCCAGAATTCACGATTCTTCTTTAAAAATGTTAATGGGAAATAATTGCTACTGTGATGAACAAAGTTTATCTTTAAATCGTTTATTGAACTGACATAACAATTCCGATGCATAAACACGAAAAATATTGTGCTGTAACACGTATATCAGTTTATGTCAGTTCAGGATCGAAAAGATCTAGGAAATACTTATTCCACAGCATCCCGCGGAAGATTATTGCAAGTTCGTTCATTCGCATAATAATTCGGAATAAAATGCAAACGAAGACCGAAAAAGACAGGATTCTTTTTAGTAGAAGGTAACCAAATTTACGAGAGCATATGCAGCGATGTCCACTCCAAAAAAGCCCTGAAAAACTTCAATGCAATCTATATTCTAGTAATCTAGTTCGACTTATGCATAGGACGAACCACAGGTCCACCTTGACGGCCCATATTCGAGATGAGAGAAAACAATTAAAATTAAGCTGCACACTGGGTTAATTACCACCCAAAACTTTTAATGCAGCACTTCGAGATTTTACATCTTTGGTACCAAATAGTTTATCTTATTCTCGTGAGAATTTCTGGGTTCATCTGTGAATTTCCGCATTTTCTTTAAAATTTTTCAAATTGCCAATAATTTCTTACATAGAAATCGCTTCTTTAATAGGACGCGCATATACGCACGAGTATCCGTATATGTTGAACGAATTTCATGATTTTACTATAAAAAAATGAACCGAGCAAAGGAATATATCCTGTGTAAAAAGAAAACTTTGCGATGAATTTTTCTCACCGACACAGGATTTGAAGTTCGGTGATAAGCGAAACCCTGGGTCGCATCTGCAGTGAAATGATCCGTCCAAGTTTTCGCAACGACCATTTGCACACATTCCATGCGTCTCGCATTCGTTGTTATCTTTCCGAAAGGAGGAAAAATATGCGCGAAACTTTTATCGTGAAGTAATTAGGTAGTTATCGAAAAGAACACATGAGTTTTTGTTTGTTTTATGCTCACCAACACATGACTTGCTGTCACTGGAAATCTCGAAGCCGGGTGAACAATCGCAGTAAAATGATCCCGGAGTATTCACGCATTTTCCGTTCGGCTTGCACATCCCAACTTTTTGGCATTCGTTTATATCTGAAAACCCATTGATACAGTATTTACACGAGGGTATACCTACAACCTCCCCCGCCCCAAAGCCATGTTCAAACCGTGCGGCCTAAACGTGAGCTCATTTTTATGCCACCCTGACGTCCTAGTTTCGACACACAGTAATGTCTAATATTTCTACTGAAGCTTGATGATATTAAAACTTAGGAATTTTCAAGTCCGTGACCAGGTGAATGTTTTCTTAATCCGTATCAAGTTTCAATAGAAAGAACATATTGAAAAAGTTTACAGATTAAGAAATTAGATTTGTATTTATGTTATCGTACGAGCCGAATATTTCGTCCAAACTTTCAATGTCTTCGTGACTTTTAGATTTTTTCTCAAGGAATGGCTACCCAAAATCAGGACGTGGCCTACACAGTACAAACAATCGATTTAGCCATGTTAATATAGAGATAATTTATTCAAACCCAGGGTGAAATCATTCAAAATTTCGGCATCAATTCCATCAATATGCTGATACAGTTTACAAAATGCTCGCATTTTAAGCTCAAAATTAGGTCCAATCTTCCTTCTAAAAATTCGGCCGATTATATCCGAGATACAATATTTGAGCACAGTATTTGCAGCATGAGAGCGATTTTTTCTTAAGCTTGGCTTGGTGTTCTCAGAGTGCTTGAATGCTGTATACTTGTATAGTCAGCGCCAGTTTCGCATATGTGTGACCAATATTCCATGCAGAATTTAAAATAAGAAAATATTTTTTATATATTGTGTGGAAACCGTATAGACCGCATTTCGCCCTCGAAATATATGATCTTTGCAGTCCTTTCAACTGTTCCCTTCAAATTACGGTAATGCCCAAATGTAGAATATGAGCTATAACTACGTAAAAGGTATAGTACTGTACTGTATATCCCTTCGATTCATTAATCTTTTGCTAGAAAAAACCGCCTTGATGCACGATATCTTCAAAAAAATTATGCCAGAATTTGTCTAATTATTCTATACGAGAAAGTGCATGAAGTAATTCATCGGTTAAACTTGGCTTAAAATATCTTCTCCTTCCTTCTGGATTTTCCAATTTTGCAAGTGCTGAAGTTATTGAACACTGAAAATCATCCTGACCTTCACAATAATTGCCGTCTTTCGCCGTGACATTGGTATAGCCGGGAAGGCAATCGCACATGTAACCCTTCGGTAAATCGATGCACTCGCCGCCTCCACAGATGTCAGGCTTTAAAGCACATTCGTCGATCAGGTGTCGAAGGCGTTTCGGAGATTCGCCGCACATTCGCTCGTATCCATCTGAACAAAGTGCTCAAAGACATCATTGCATGAAATGCGTTCTCCTAAATCTTTTTTTTTAATTTGCTTTTCTTCGAGATAGGGTAAGTGGGTTGGTCATAAGCGTGTCCAGTGATGTCTTTCCTGCTTTGACAGGAACAAGGCGAGTTCAATGTTTGAATTCTGTTCGTCAAATGTCAGGCTCACCACTTTCTTATAACAGGAAGTTCGGTATATAAGACCGATTTCTTTTGTAGTTCAAAAATACTAGCCGATTACAATACATATGTGAAGGTAAGGTTTGCGAGCTCAGAAATATTCTTAAGCGAACACCTCTGAGTGGATAGTGAATCGCTCGGTTGCTTATGGCGCTAACGAACACTTCAGCGGAAATTGATGTTCACTTCCGCGGAAGTCACGGATAAAATTGTTATTCATGGGAAAAGTATGAATTCATCAACTTCATCACTTTCAGGGATACATTTGTTACTAGTAGGGTTTTTAAAATCAAAATTTAACTCCTACTTCTGGCTATTGCCATGTGGCACGCGGAATTTTTCATAAAAAGAAGTTGGATGATGATTTCTGTACTCATAAATCCAATGGGTGAATGTTGAATTTAAAGAATTACGAAATTATGACTGAAAACGAAGTATTAGGTGAAATAGTGAAATACTTGCATCCATATTGCATCCAGGAAACCACGGAAGACGCTGCATGAATGGAAACATTTAAAGTTCGCCTGGGGCCACTTAGTGCATGAACACTACTGTTTTGTCTTTAAAGTCCTATCAAGAATAAGTTTGGAATCCCTGCTCATATTACGGTAGTCAGAAACTGTCGTCAGTGTCGGAAGGGAAATCTGCAAAAATAAAGCGTAATGTGCAAAAATCAAGTCTTACCTTCACCCGGCTGAGGACAGGGTTCGCAAACATCCTTTCCCCATCCCTTTCCGATATTCTCAGCGCAACAACAATCCAGTTTCGTCAGCTGAAATTGCAGGGGGTTTCTGCAGGAGCCGAGAACAGCCTCCGTGTAGCAACTCCCCCTCCGGGCATCTGGTACACGTCAAAATTGTTTTTCTCATCACACCGTGCACAAATACCGCTCACAGGAAGAAGAAATTAGCACCATCTAAGGCGCGATGCTTTCTTTCTCTCCCTCAACTGAAATACCCATTTGCTTTACACCGTTTCATCCGATGTTTTAACTTCCACCTAGTCTCGTGACTATTGTCTTAGTCATGTCATGACTGAAATATGAAGCCATAGCAAAATGTTGCACTAGAAAAACATAATACTGAGTTAGAGTTTTAGGATCATGTGGGAAATTTTTTTCTCCATAGAACTGCAAATGGAAAAACTTGGAACTGAGCCAAGATCACATTCACCTCCTCAAATGATGAGGTTTCTTTTAAGCTGGAAAAATCGTCTCCCGAAAAATCGACCCGTTGACGAGTTTTAATTTTTTCCTCCTGGCCCATAAAGCCCCACGAAGGCTATTTGGGCCAACTTGTCAAAACGAACATTCATTAACATGTTGGGGGGGGGGGGGGGGTGCAGGGGTTAAAGAGAGATAATGTACGCAGCAATTACCAAGATCAGAACGCTTTTCAATCGGAAAATGGGCATCACATATTTGAAATCCCTAGTACAGTACACAGATTTTTCTATGATTTGAACTATTGGGGAGCTCCTAAAGTGTCTGGAAATCAGTAAAAATCGCAGGGACGGAAGGTAAACCTCACTTTTTCAAGTAATGACTTTTCAACTCCTTTTACTCGTCTACATTTCATCTTGAGAGCAAAAATGTGACCACGTGTGCTGGTCATCGAATGGGGTGTAACATCAAGGAGAACTTTGTAGAAAATTAATTCTTGGAGGGGAACTTTAGTGCAATTTTTTTTTTCAAAACAAGAAAAGAACGAAATATTTCGCCTTGCGCGTTTTTTTTCTTATTTATGGTGAGCGAGTGAGTTTTGTGCCACTGCTGGCTCTCCAAATTCGTCGTGCGGAAAGTTCGCCGTGCGAAAGGTTCGTTTTGCAAGACCCCACGGTACGGTACAGTACTTCTAACTTCACAAGAAAACACTTAGAAAGGTCTGAGACCTTTGTACGTACGCAGTGGATACGTGGGGAAAGACAGGACCCAGACATACTTCGGGTCCAATGTGTACGTTCTCTTCAGCGGCCTAAGCAACTACGTCCTGCCGTGTTCGCCGCAGGGATTCGTCCGTCGCGCACATGGGTCCATCACAATGCAAGAGCTGGTCGCATCGTCCCAATCCTCGCCTGCGTCGCAGGAGCACCGGAAAGAGCCGATCGTGTTCGTACACTTGCCGGACGAACAAAG